AACTGCCCAATACAGTGGGATCCCTCTTCTCACTCTCCATTTGCTGACCAGCATCCCGCTTGGTTCCCCTGACTGAGGAGCAAAAGATGAAGTGAACGTGAAGGATAACAGGAAGGGATTCTACAGGTACGTAGCAAATAAAACAGACTAGGGACAACGTAGGCCCCCTCAGGAAGCTCTCGGGAGAGCTAGCTACACAGGATTTGGAGAAGGCTGAGGTTCTGAATGACTTCTTTGCCTCGGTCTTCACTGGCAAAGGCTCTGACCGCACCACCCAAGTCTTGGAAGGCAGACGCAGGGACTGTGAGAATGAAGACCTTGGGCCCACTGTAGGAGAGGAACTGGTTCGAGACCATCTTAAAAATCTGAACGTGCACAAGTCCATGGGACCTGATGAAATCCATCCGCGGGTCCTGAAGGAGCTGGCGAATGAAGTTGCTAAGCCACTGGCCATCATATTTGAAAAATCATGGCAGTCAGGTGAAGTTCCCAATGACTGGAAAAAGGGAAATATAACCCCCATTTTCAAGAAGAGGAAAATGGATGACCCAGGGAATTACAGACCAGTCAGTCTCACCTCTGTGCCTGGCAAAATCTTGGAGCAGATTCTCCTGGAAGGCATGCTAAGGCACATGAAAAACAACAAGGTGCTTGGTGACAGCCAGCATGGCTTCACTAAGGGGAAATCCTGCCTGACCAGTTTGGTGGCCGTCTGTGATGGGGCTACAGAACTGATGGACAGGGGTAAAGCAGTTGATGTCATCTACCTGGACTTGTGCAAAGCGTTTGACATTGTCCCGCAAGACATCCTTGTCTCTAAATTGGAGAGACATCAAATTGATGAATGGACCACTCGGTGGATAAAGAACTGGCTGGATGGCCGCACACAGAGAGTTGTAGTCAATGGCTCAATGTCCGGCTGGAGACCAGTAACGAGTGGTGTCCTTCAGGGATTGGTGTTGGGACCAATCTTGTTTAACATCTTCATCGCTGACATGGACAGTGGGATTGAGTGTGCCCTCAGCAAGTTTGCCAATGGCACCAAGCTGTGTGGTTCGGTTGATATGCTGGAGGGAAGGAATGCCATCCAGAGGGACCTTGACATGCTTGTGAGGTGGGCTGATGCCAACCTCATGAAGTTTAACCATGACAAGTGCAAGGTCCTCCACCTGGGTCAGAGCAATCCCAGTCACAGCTACAGGTTGGGCAGAGAAGAGATTCAGAGCAGCCCTGCGGAGAAGGACTTGGGGGTGCTGGTCGATGAGAAAATGAACATGAGCCGGCTTCAGTGTGCGCTTGCAGCCCAGAAAGCCAACCGTATCCTGGGCTGCATCAAAAGGAACGTGACCAGCAGATCAAAGGAAGTGATCCTGCCCCTCTGCTCTCATGAGACCTCACTTGGAGTATTGTGTGCAGTTCTGGTGTCCTCAACATAAAAAGGACATGGAACTGTTGGAACAAGCCCAGAGGAGGGCCATGAGGATGATCAGGGGACTGAAGCACCTCCTGTATGAAGATAGGCTGAGAAAGTTGGGGCTGTTCAGCCTGGAGAAGAGAAGGCTGCATGGAGACCTCATAGCAGCCTTCCAGTATCTGAAGGGGGCCTATAGGGATGCTGGAGAGGGACTCTTCATTAGGGACTGTAGTGGTAGGACAAGGGGTAACGGGTTATAAGGAGGAAGTTCTTTACTGTGAGGGCGGTGAGGCACTGGAATGGGTTGCCCAGGGAGGTTGTGAATGCTCCCTCCCTGGCAGTGTTCAAGGCCAGGTTGGACAGAGCCTTGGGTTACATGGTTTAGTGTGAGGTGTCCCTGCCCATGGCAGGGGGTTGAAACTAGATGATCGTAAGGTCCTTTCCAACCGTGTTCTATGATTTAAAAGCATCTGTATTGCCTGATAAATGAGTGATAATGAATTTGCATGGTAATTCACTATTTCAAGCAGTAGTCTTTTCAATCATACAACTCCCTGTCAAGTAGAGCCTGCTGCAGCTGGTGTTATGTTGCCGAAGCTGCTGCTTCATTAGAACAGTCTGTCTGTAGGATATCTATGTGGATGGCTGAAGACTTTTGGGCTGAAGCCTGAAGTATTCTCAAGACAGGTCGGCAGTTGTAGACTGTGGATAGTGCAAATGCTATTTGAAGCTGTGCGCATGTGCAGAATGTCAAAAGCATTTGGTTTCCAAAATCTGTTTACTTCTAATGGATGAGAATATTTTTCTTGACTCATTGTGAAAGGTTTTAAATGGTTTTCTTCTAGTACTGTGATTATCAGCTTGTGATACAGAATCTCTTTTCCTTTATTGCTGTGGGAAAAGTCAGGGCTCTGAAGAGTTTTCCTGGCAGGGATTGCAATATACACAATACAACACAGAAGCATGGGTAATGCAACAAACTTGATAATGGATTATTTAGAAGTTGTAAGATGAAATTGAGCTGTCAGTGACAGGAAATGGCCAAACCACACGTCTCAGTGGATATTATTGCCGTGGATCTTAAGTGCAATGTGCCATGGATATTTTGAATCTTGGATTTATCATGTCATGGTTGTATTATCTCAGCTATGGATACCCTGGAGGTTCCAGTGCTCCCTTTACCTAAAAGGTAAACCAAAATCATCTTAATCTATAGCACTTCACATTGTTTCTGTTTTTACTCCAGGACGGAAGAAGTGCCAGCAGCTCAGCAACCTACAAAGCCACAGACACAAGCCAATGGAACAGGTAATCTTCATCAGATCTCTACTAGCAGTTTGATTCAGTTGGGGTTTTTTGCCCCTTTCTTTTGATCCTTAGAAGATCAAGCCTTGCTGAAAAATGTGCTGGGTCCTTAAGCAGGCTTCTGAAGAAGTCAGATGTGAAAGACCCTTTTAGTAGCTTCTTATCTCACTGTATGTGATTGTGCATTTACTTTTTGTACTTGACTTTGCACACCTGGGCAAGGATTTTATTCAATTTTATAAAGCCTTTAGGAGTCTAATGAAACCTCACTGTTGCATGCCTTTTTGATCCTTCAGGTACCGGAAAACAGGTGTAATACATAGAAAAAAATGTTCTATTTTGGTCTCAACTGCAAAAGCTCTTTTATGCTATTAACTGTATTACCGCTTCCTATTTCTAAAAGACAAGACATTCTGGAAAAGGAATAAGCTTAAGAGTTACTATTTTTTTTGGACACCTACGCTGTCATCTACATTTCTTAAGCTGCTGCTTGTTATGAATTCAATAATACAGTGATTTCTGAAAGAACTGAGGCAACAGGTCTCAGTCTTTGGGTACACTTGAGCTTTCCTCCCCACACCTATTCATTGAGGTTTTAAATCCGCAGCTTAAATTTGGAGTTGCTCCTCCTGAATTCCCGTAACATCAGTACTTTGTTATGTCAGCTACAACCTGCCATTTTTTTCAGTCTTGTACACTCAATTTCTTCCTCAGTACATTTGGAAGTATTAGCATTTGGGAAGCTACTTCACAGGTTTTTAGTTTTAAATTGAAGTGTTGTCTCAGCTGTAAACTCTCACTAAATTCCTTGGTATTCTAGATATCACTGCAATAGTTTGATTCTGTTTTCTGAGCGCCAGTTCTTTTTCCCCAGATGCATAAAAGCCTCATTTTGGCTGTTATAGTTGGCTGATTAATCTTTATGCCTCTGTTTAATCGTGTCTTAAACTTACTGAGTTCTGTGCAAACTTTGATCCTTGAATAGTTGTGACCAGTGTCCTCCTCCTGACATTGCTGTATTGACTTATGTTGCCAAAGAACAGTCTCTCTGTTCCCTCTAGACAATGATTTTCTGAGTTACAGGTAAAATTTAAAGTTTTGTGCTCATTTGTGCTGCCTCTAAGGCTTTTACCCTTATATCCATATACTTATATTTTTCCACTGAAACTAACATACAGAAAGTGTGGATCAATTCATTACTTTGCCATATACGACTTTCTAGGCAGTATCTTGACTATATATTCCATATATAGCAAGTGGCGTATAATATACACTATTTAGACATGGATATACATCTCTGTGTATACACACATACACAATCTTTACAGCCTATAAATGGTAGGAAAGTGGTAATAAAAAAGTCTTTTACAGAATCTTGCTTAAGTTTCCACTTTCCTTTCCTGTCAAGTTCATGTGGCTACAGGGTGGGTGCCCTGCTCTCTGCTCAGGAGTGTTTTGCTTTACATTGCTTTCCTCAAAGTGACCCTTCAACACAATAGGAGTGCTGACATTTATGTCAGTCTTTTGTTTATAGCAACCTCTTAACCAGAAACTGTTTTTACAGTTTTGCTAAAAATTCTCGTTTGTTGGGTTAAGTAACCTCTGTACTTGTGGTAATGCGATGCCTCCATGTGCTGTGCTTAGAGCAAAGCAGGAGTCACATTTAGTCTCATTTTACCAGTTTTGTGCAGTGGCAGAAGTAAATTGCACAGTGAGTTTGTGTGAAGTGTTGGTGAAGGATAGGAGATATATATAGACTGTATAAAGTCTGCTTCTCACTAAAGCATGATGTGTGGGAACAGGGGCAAGCTTTGGATGAAGATGTTGTCTGGTATTATCCTGATACTTAGTGCTTTTTCCTAACAGATAAGCGTAGTCACACAGTCTGTTCGAGACTCCAGAAGTGGTTTTGTGACAAATTTGGGGAGTATGTTGAAGACTTCAGATTTCAGCCAGAAGAAAATACAGTGGAAACAGAAGAGCCTCTTAGTGCTAGAAGGTAAATCTGTAATGTGATTGTGAGAAATTATTGGCTTCTTTATAAGTCGCTTTTTTTATCTCCTTTTTTTTTGTTTTACAACCCTTTATGTGGTTTGAACATGGCAATGAAACTGAAAGTTTAGAACCATCGCAGAAGGTCTGTGAATGCATTGGCCCCACTGCGAAATTTAAAGTTCATTTGCTGTCTGAGGTACGGTAAGAGTTATTTACCAGATTCTGTCTCATGACTCACAAACTCTGGACAAAGCCTTAATTAGGCTGAAGAGCTTTCACATTTCAGGTATTGGTCTGGTGCAAGATAGGCTATGTTAGTTACTAAAACCGCATTTCATAACAGGCAAGCATGAAACTTTATGCACAAACATCTAATTTATAACTGTGAGTAGTATTTCAATATACCAAATGTACACAACTGTGTACTACTTGCCTATTTAACAGATTGCTTTTATCTATTATTTTTCAGGTTGACTGAAAATATGAGAAGGTTAAGTAAGTACTTAGAAATATTTTATTTTCTGGAAGTGAAAATAGCTGTTAGTAACCCTATTGGGAAGATTGCTATTTTTTAAAATACAGTATTTTCAAATACTTCTGCCAATTCATGAGCAGAAATGATTCTGAAACCTGATACAGTGTTTGGAACACAAAGTAACTTAGAGGAGCAGTGGTAGAAGCTTGCCTTTGATCTTGAATCTTGAATTACATAGAGTATCTCTGAATAAAAATGTAAGGTTAATTAAAATGTAATGAATGAGATGGGGTATTTTTCCAGTGGCAAGAATAAGTGTGCACATGCTTATGTCCTAGCTGGTTTTAGGTCACTCGCTAGTCTATGAGCTTATGCTTTCAAAGATGAAGGGTGATGCATGCTATGAATGTGTCTTGCATTTCTGTCTCTTGGATAGCTGATAAGTTACTTTGGAAAGTGGAGGATGCAAGATGGCAGGTTAAACAAAGCAGTTAAGCCCTCAGCAAAGAATTGCTAGCCTGAAAAAAATCTATGTGGCTGATTTGCGCTACAAATTGTTAAATTAATGTAGGGGGGAGGGTGAAGTTGAAATAAGGGTCTGTAATCTCCGTGTAAGGTCAGTTTTGTTCTCCTTATTCTAATACTGGTGTTCCTTCTAGTTTCATTTGGGGTAGAACATCTGACTTGTTTTCTGTGGTGCACATGCATTGCCTTAAGAATAGCTTTATAAAAAGCACTATTAAGCTTAGCTTTGAGTGGTTCTTAACTTCTCTAGGTGAACTGCAGAATCTAGATCCCTGTTCTCCATGGGTAACTGGCAACCACCGGAGCTCTCAAGAACCTTGTTGTCACCAGCAGTTTCCAAATGTTGATTGGGACCTTCCCTGCAGATTCAGTTTAGGGTGGTGGAGCAGAGCAGGTGGAAACAGGGCTTGAGTCTGTGACCTCTTCCAGTGGGCGTGCCCCTTCCACTTTCTTCATCTGCTGCTTTGGTTGTGCTGATGATGCTTAAGGAAATCTAGTCCTAGTTGTTTAATTACTTCCTATAGGAAGTGTATTGAGGGTAGCTGAATTTCAAGCCAAACAAATTAGGACAGCAAGTCACAGGCTGTCTTCGAGGAAAGCTTTTCAAAGCTGTGAACTGTACCGCAAATGAAGGTGATTGCTTCTGGGGATCCCTGTGCAAGAGGAGTCATCACTCTTCTCAGCAGGGAAGGCAAAACCAGTGTATTCCAGCAGAGAAAGCAGAGGTCTTCATGCAGCGCTCCTCTCCTGTTTTCATGTGTCCCCTAGCCAGTTTGCCCAAGCTGTAAAAGAACTTAGAGGAATAGAGTATAGGAAGGACAGGTGGTTTTCAGGGAGCTGAGGAATATCTCCTCTTGTTGTTACTGGCTGGTTGTGTGCATCTGTATGTGGGAGTGATGCCTCTCTCATGCAGTGATGGTGAGAGCAAAGGTTTCTTGGGTTTCACTTTTCTTAATTTGGATAAGCCTTTTAATCATTACATATCTTGACTATTCCGGTTAATTTTCTAAGTTGTCTGTTTGTCATTTACAAGTGATTTAACCGCTGCCAGCTAATTCTAACAGTTGTGGTTTTTCTCCGCTTCTGTTTAGAGAGAGGTGCCAAACCTGTTACTAATTTTGTGAAGAATCTTTCTGCCTTATCAGACTGGTATTCTATCTACACTTCTGCTATTGCCTTTATTGTAAGTTATCCTATTCCTCCAGAGTAGTAATATTCTTATAATTATAATTATTTCATTTATAATTATTCTTAATTCTTATATGTATCATTTACTGAAATTCATTGAAACTGCCATATCTGACTAGGGGTTGTGCTACAGTTTAAAGGCAAATCAAGTAGTGTAATTTCATTCATGTACAAAATGCCAGCAGTTGTCATTTCAGTTATGTTTCAGAGATGCTTAAATTGTGGATTTGGGGTTTATTGTAGCACAGTTTTGTAATTGTTAAAATAACTCAGAATCATCTGGGCATTGTTCTCTCATCTCTTGTTTCCTGTCTTCCAGTCCTGTAATTTGATGGTTACTTCCGCCTTTGCCAAATCTCTTGCTGTCTAGGGCTGAAATGCTGATAGTGGCTATGTTTGATAAGAAGCTGTCGTTTTCCATCAGTGCTCTTTGCCATTCATTAGGATCATACTAATGACAGACAAAATGCATTGATTGGAGGATCATTTAATGTGCAAACGTCAGGTCTGTGAGCTAAGTTCAAGCATTCCCATGCAGTTTAAGGAGGTTTGTGGGCCACAGTGGTGTAACTATTTAGTGGAGTTTAAATTTGGTTTTATTCTAACCGTTAATTGATGATCTAAGTTATTTTGGTCATGGTGTGTATTGACTTTGATACCAGAGGAATTACCAGTAGTTGTAGCTGAATGAACCTGTCTGATGAAAATGGCACATGTCTTTTTATTAACTGATCCCTCCGTGTAAGTTACAGACCCTTATTCAATGCTACTTTGCACAGCACAGCTGAAGGAATATTGAGGAGGAGACTTACCCTTCATGGTGCCCTGTGTCTGTCCCTTTTCCTAATTTACTGGGTTTTCTCACCTCTCCTGACAAACCCATTCTTCAGAAAGAAGCTGAAAGAAGGAACTTGAGCTGCTCTTTGGAATGCTCTGGGATGTTGGAGCCAAGACAGTGCTTCACATCAGGGTTATCAGTAAAAACAGTCTCAGCAGGGAGGCTGTAGTCTCTGTATTTTCAGAAGTCAGGAAGGGAACAGAATGCCTTTTGAGGCACTTTGTGTTTGTACTTGCCAGGTAAAACAAAACCTATTTTCCTGCAGTCTTTCTAAGCTTGGTAAAAAGTTTGGGATTTAATTGACCTGAAATAATAGAGTGAGCATACATCCTGTTGCACTGTATGGAGCTAGATGCTATTACCTTTCTTCTGTTCCATTGCTTCAGCTGCCATAGGTGAGGTTAGACCATGTTGTGGTTACATAGCAGGCTCACAGACTTTAAGGTTTACTTTTTTTCCCTTATCGCTTTTTGCATTTGTAGTGTTGGAAGTATTCAGTACTTCTCTCAAGCAGCTGAGAAATGGTTAAGTGTCATCTCTGGAGATTTGGAGTTTGACTTTACACAAATGCAGTGCTGTTGTCAGTCATGGGGTATCTAAAATGTATTAATTTTTCCGATTTGAATTGCATGATTCTGACCCCAGCAGTCCATTGGGGAATTGTTTTTCATGCAACTCACTGTGCACCAGTTTGTAATCTGTGTTTCTCTTTGTTCTTTTTTTTGTTTGTTTGTTTATTTCTTAATCTGCAGATTTACATGAATGCTGTATGGCATGGCTGGGCCATTCCTATGTTCTTATTTTTAGCAATTTTGAGGTTGTCCCTAAATTACCTCATAGCCAGGTATTTACTAAAGTACTAGATTATTGTCTGTAATGCTTTGTTTGAAAGATGTTTCATTGTTCTTCCATTGAGTTGTGAGCTTTTAGCTTTTCTAATGTGAATTAAGTCTAACAAAGTAAAATTCAGACTCTAATATCCTTAATTTCATTGCTCGATTTCTGTAATTTTTTACTTTTATAAGGAATTATTTTTGTATCCTCTGACTTGGGTCATCATAAATGATGCTACATGTTCTCAAACAAATCCTTCAGCACACTAAAGCTCTAAAATAACATTTTGCAGCATTCAGAGTAGTTGGAGAATATCACCTAAATTATTGAAGCCTGCTGCTTTTCCATGGAGAGAATTTTCACCTAGGCCTAAAATAGCAGTTTTGCGTTTTTTAGTCGATCTTAGCATACTTTATTCAAAGTGTCTTCCATTTGTAAATTCAGTCTCTTTTAAATGTTAAGACTTTCTTTTAAAATTCATGTTTTCTGTACTGAGAGGATCTTTTTAAAATGCTATTTAGGCTGATGGTGTTTTCCCCTTAATGGTGAAGAGGACCTTAATGTGCATGTTTTGAATAACTTGCTGACTTCTTAATTGATACTTACACTATGACACACTATTCTCTGAAAATTGCTGGTAGCAAATAGGTCCTGAATAAGTTGATGTAGTTTTACAAGAAAAGAGAAAACATTAATAATTAATTACTATCTGCATACCATTCACTTTTGTTATAATACCCACAAGTGGTGATTCTGTGTAGTGTCTACCTATCTAATTCTTTTCTTTAATGTGTATACCTTTAAAGCTGACTGTGGTTGGCCAGTTGTGTTTTGGTTATGTTGTTGGTTCTTCATTAATTTGGGGATTATTTCCTTATTTTTTTAAAGTCATAAGTGCTTATTGCAGAAAACTACTTTTTAACCTCTTACAAATAATCCGTGTTGGCAGGTGGAGAAGTACTTGCTTTCTTTAACTATTTCCATAACTTCTAGGGGTTGGAGAATACAGTGGAGCATTGTGCCTGAAGTTTCTGAACCCATGGTAGGTATTTCATCAGCTTGTCCTATATGCCTGTGTTAAAAGATGCACCTTTAAGACCTTTCTCTGTTTTTATATGGGTAGCTATGAAAGGAAAGAGTGAGGTTCAAAGAAAGACATTACATTCTTTTTCTTTCTCTTGCAATTTAGAAATCTTAACTAACAGTACTCTTAGGTTTGGGTATTTCACAGTAAACTTGAAACACATTTCTGGAATCAGTGTTAATATGCAAGCCTGGGACAAGTTAGATCCTGTGGGATCTTCAAGAAGCCTAGCATTCTCTTTTCTTTGTAACGTTTTGAAATTAATGTTTGCATACCCTGCTTTAAGCAGGAAGGTTTTTAAGTGTTAACATAAGATGGAGCTCTTTAAATTTCAAACCTTTTACTAAGACTTAGGCCTTGCTTCCAGGATAATTTTGTTGCTCTTAAAAGGCCAATAACTCAAATAAGTTCTAGATGTGTAGAGCTTCTAACAATAATGCTATTTCTGTGCTAGTTTAATTGTAGAAATCTTAGAATCCCCGAGGTTGGAAAAGACCTTTAAGATCATCAAGTCCAACATTCACCTAACACTGTCAAGTCCATCAGTAAACAATGTCACTAAGTGCCCCATCTACACACCTTTTAAATACCTTCAGGGATAGCAAATCACCCACTTCCCTGGGCAGTTTCCAATGCTTGACAACCCTTTCTGTGAAGAAATTTTCGCTAATATTCAATCTAAACCTCACCTGGTGCAACTTGAAGCCATTTCCTCTTGTCCTGTCCCTTGTTACTTGGAGAAGAGACTAACCCCCACCTTGCTACAATCTTATTTTAGGTAGTTGTAGAGAGGGATAGGGTCCTTTCTCTTCTCTAGACTAAACAACCCGAGTTCCCTCAGCCCTTTCTCATCACACTTGTGCTCCAGACCCTTCACCAGCTTTGTTGCCCTTCTCTGGACCTGCTCCAGTGCCTCGATGTCTGGCCTGTAGTGAGGGCCCAAAACTGAACACAGGATTCAAGGTGTGGCTGCACCAGTGTGCCCAATACAGGGGGATGATCACTGCCCTGGTCCTGCTGGCCACACTATTGCTGATAAAAAACATGTTGTCCACCTGGGCACAAGCTGGCTCATGTTTATGTGGCTATTGACCAACATCCCCAGGTCCTTTTTGCTGAGCTGCTTTCCAGTCACTCTTCCCCAAGCCTGTTGCATTGCATGGGATTGTTGAGGCCCAAATGCAGGACCCAGCACTTTGACTTGTTGAACCTCATACAACTGGCCTCGGCCCATGGATCCAGCTTGTCCAGATCCCTCCTTAGATCCTTCCTATCCACCAGTGTATCAACACTCCCATAGAACTCGGTGTCATCTGCAAACATACTGAGGGTGCACTTGATCCCCTCGTCCAGATCACTGATGCAGATATTAAACAGAGCTAACCCCAGTACTGATCCCTGGGGAACATCCCTTGTGACCATCCACTACCATTCACCACCATGCTGTACTTTGGCCATCCACCCAACAAAATATATGACTGTCCAAGCCATGAGCAGCCAGTTTCTCCAGGGGAATGCCGTGGGAAACGGTGTCAAAGGCTTTACTGAAGTCTAGGTAAACAACATCCACAGCCTTTCCTCATCCACTAAGCCGGTCATCTTGTCACAGAAGAAGATGAGGTTAGTCAAGCAGGATCTGCCTTTCATAAACCTGTGCTGACTGAGCCTGATCACCTGGTTATCCTTGAGTGTGATGGAACTCAAGAGGATCCATAGCCTTCTCTGGTCATGCTAATGGGCCTATAAGTCTGTGGTCATAGACTGAATGCCACTGTAATGGTGCTGCTTGAAAGACTTGCTGTGTCTCACAGCCTTCTATTAATATGTTTGCATGTACCATGGAGGAAAAGCATTGAGAACTAAAGATAACCAGCAGTGAAAGACATAAAGAGTAGATTTGAAATAAGGGAGACTGAAGTGAGAAAACTCTTGCCAAAAATGTTAAGGGGTTTCTTTTCATGAGGAGTTTTGTAAAATACCAGTTTCAGCTGAGCTTAAAATTAATGGATTGTCTCTTTCTTCCCCAAGGAACCCCCAAAAGAGGACCTGACCGTGTCTGAAAAGTTTCAGCTTGTTCTAGATGTGGCTCAGAAGGCGCAGGTACTGTGCTGCTCTTGGAGCTGTCCGACTGGTTCCCTAGAAACAAGGACGTTCATAGTCCAGGTGGTCAAAGGACGTTGTTAGGCAGCATGTGAAAACAAACGCTCAAAGAAGCAATACTTTTCTTGACTACAAGCAGTAGAGACCTCAGAAAGATTCCTGGAGCTTCTAAAATGGCACAGTGCTTCAGACAACTGGTAGAGGTTCTGTGGTCATAACTCTTGAGTGAGGTCTGGAGGGGAACAGAAGCAGCTTCTTCTGACAGTGTTCCCCCTGATATATGTGTATGAGCTTCTGGTAATGTAGATGAGGTGGCGAATCTTACCTGTGTACCGGAGTGTGGATCCATGTCCCAAATCTGCTAGTCACAAAGCTGGTGTAGGACACCCTCTTCCTTCAAGATTTAGCTGAAGACTGTTGTCTGTTTAGCTGTGTTAATTCAACAGTTTGAACAGCGTCTCTGAAATAGCCTGTTTTAAACACCACCACACTCCCCTGAGCCCTGAAATCTGCTTCTTGTGGGAGAGGATGAAGGGAGGTTTTCTTCTAGCTCTATCAGTTTGATGAGCTACCCTAGCAGCTGAGTGACCCCACCACCTAGTTGAACTACAGCCTTGTGCCATGTCTAACAGTGTGCTACTGCTGAAAGTAGCTTACCTTTCTCTTGCCAACCGTGTGTGCTCATTGACTTTCTTCTGCTGGTGGCGGTGCATGTGTTTATACAAACATCTTTGGAAGTTTATTGGGAACATAAAATTTACAGGTGCTCTGACAGCAAGGATTGGTCAGAGAAGATGTCTGAATAACACTGTTAGTCCTCATCAGGGGTCATTTTGCATCAAAAGTTGTTGGAATTACATGGAATCTAGTAACTCTAAGGGTGTATTATAAAAACCTGATAGCAGTGGGTTTCTAGAGAAGCTAACGGTCCAACATTTGATGAACTCAATAACCACTTCCTCAAATTTCAGTGCTCAAAGTGTGCGAAGAAGCTTCCTGTTGTGTTGCCTCATGACAAAAGTTCTTAACTCTGACAGCTTAATGTAAAGTATTTGCAGTGATGTAAACACTTTGCAGTCATGAAAATGGGATCAGATAGCTTCTTTACTTCCGAAAATCCGTCTTGAGTTACAGAACAAAGTATTAAGTGAGATTGAAGTCATTGTGTATGTCTGTTCTGTTCTGTATTTGCTTAATTGTGAAGTATATAAATGGCTAAAAGTTAGGTTAAAAAATCACCTCTGGGAATTGCTTATTACCAACAGAGTAAGGTAACTGTTGGTTTCTATTAGGTAGACCAAAAAAACCCAAGATAATGCAGGACTTTGTTTTAATTCTCTTGCTTCTTATGCAGAATCTTTTTGGCAAGATGGCAGACATACTGGAAAAAATCAAAAAGTAAGTTATCTGACATGAGTCTTTTTTTTCCTCTTACAACAAGACTTGACCAATGTCTGAAACATTAGTAGTAAAATTGTTTTCCTTTTTTCTTTTCAGCTTGTTCATGTGGGTCCAGCCAGAAATAACACAGAAACTCTACATTACTCTATGGGCAGCTTTTATTGCATCCTGCTTTTTGCCCTACAGGATTATTGGGCTCGCAATGGGTAAACACAATAAATAATTGACCTGCTACAGTCTAGACTTAATGCGTTAGAAACTTACCATGATCTTTAGAGGGAGAATTTTAGAGTTTAAGAAAGAAAACCTTACATTAATAAATAATGCAGTGTTTGAAAGTATTTTCCCTGTGCTTGGCATTGTTTGTCGTGTGCATTTTGAAAACCATCTCAGAATATATAGCATAGTAGAAAAAGGCTGGATAATGCGTTTGCTTCTTGAAGAGGGGAAGTTCATGATGAGTTGTTAGCCGAACTCTTCAGTCTGTCAGCTGTAAGACTTCTGGGAAGTTCTGTATTTTGGGATTTTTTCATTCCTATATCCTTGCAAATGAAATATGTGGGACCACATAGAAGGCATGAAGATGACAGGGTTGGGGGAAAAAACAGGAAAGACTTGGTGGGACTAGTTGTAGCATTTGGATGATGCCCTGACAAAAATGAAGAGAGTACTGAGGATGAAGTTATGTATACTTAAAGTCTCAACTGGGAATCGGAAGAAGAGGGTTTTCACTACAGAGTGAGAGTGTCTGTTTTCTAAGATATAAAGCATGTCCTGTGAACTAAGAATTTTCATTTTTTTTCCTTTAAAGTAATGATATAATTAAATGATTGTTACTTTTCATGGCAGTGAACTTCAAATTGTGTTAGCTTGAGCATAAACGTAGGTCTGCTTGACATGGCAATTGCATTAGATATGTGAGGTATTATTATTTGACTCTTAAGAAGGAGACCTGAATTGCATTCAGTAAAGCTTTGAGAGAGTATTTCAAGCCCCTTTTAATCTGGCAGAATGCAAGGAAATAACTTGTATAATAAGGTAAGAGTCTATACAGGACCAGAAGATAGAATTTAATATAGTACATGAGAGCCCTCTGTTGCTATTTAAATTCTTGCAAGGAGCTGGAGGGATGGATGCTCTGATGTGTTTTCTGTTTTGGAAATACATTGTGGTTTTGGAGGGCTTCTGGTAATAAGGAATGTGTGTTTCTATTATTTTGAAGTTCTTCCATCTAATAAGAATCTACCTAAGTGTCTTAAATAACCAAGGATTAGAAGAAGAATCGAAATACTAAAGTCAAGAGAATGGTTTAGCACTCTGAATGAAGATACAGAACTTTGTTTCACTCATGGACTTGTTAAAACATGATCAAAGCAGTGATGTTCTTAATGCTCCTTCAACGTGTGTACTGAAGTGGATTTTTTTTATTTTTTTTTTTTAGGACTCTATGCTGGAATCAAGTTTTTCCTCATTGATTTTATCTTCAAACGATGCCCCAGACTAAGAGCTAAGTATGATACTCCTTATATCATCTGGACAAGTCTCCCAACAGATCCTCAGCTCAAAGAAAGATCTAATGCTACAGTATCAAGACGGGTAAGGGTAATAAGTCTTTCTGTCCCTCAGTTGCCAGCAACTGAAAAGTCAGATTCCTTTCTCCCTTTGCCTTTTCCCCAGTGACTAGAGCACATTAAAGGGAAGGCTAATTAAATCCCAACAGTCAATGTTAGTTCTATTTTTTTATTTTTTTCATGATCCACAAAGTTATAACATGGATTCAGTTTCTTGTATGAAAAGAATCTATTCTCAAAGTGTATATATCAATATATGTATACTGGAAATTGTATCAAGCTGAACTCACAAATACAACACCATCCATAATAATATCAATTTCTGTACACATATATTGTGTGATTTTAGTGTCAAAATTCAGTCTTTCTGTATTCCCCTTCTTTGTTCTCAGACATTCTTTTTCAGTGGAAATCCAGCTACTTGTGTAGATGGAAGAACAGTTAGGTAAAAAAAATAGATTAAAAAGGCTTGACTATAATATGTGGCTTACCAATGGGATAAGTGTTAAAAGAGGTAATAAAGTAGTTTACAGATTTAGGCATTATGTCTTAGGGTTGCTTCTATTAGGTGACCTTTTAGCATAGTGGTGGTAAATGACTTTTTGCCATGTTGGTACTCCAACAGTGAATTTTTCTTTTGTTCAAATCTCATGGTTAAATCCGAGTGTTGTTTTGTGCATCTTTCTTAACTGTTTTGGGAGCTGACATGGTAATTGAAAAGCAAGGCATGCTTTTCCATATCCCTGAATTTGTTAGCTTAAAAATAAAAATAGTTGTAGTAAAAGTTTGGTGTAATCCCATTTTAGCATTTCCTTAATGCCTGTAATCACGTTATCTAATTACATTCATGGAGTATCTGAGTACTGTCATAAGCTCCCTGACTGAAATGTGCAGCGCTTAGCAATAATTCAGTCTGGCTACACAACTAGGAACAAAAGGGATAAACACATGATCCCTTGGTTGTTAAGCTGTTGAAAAGAAGAAATACAGGGTTCAGGGGGTGATGGAGCAGTTGGTGGTAAAACAACTGCAGCATAATCTGAGTATTTCAAAAGGGAGTAGAAAAGAAAGACAAAAGGCAGTCTGTGACACAAAGTGAATCTTTTGCTCCTATTTTCCAAGGGAGGAGGAAGGTGAATGAGCACTTGGACAGAGCTGTCAGTAGCCTATATTGCTTTTGATTGCATTTTCTGTTTCCAGATGTCTTTGAAAACATTAACTTGGTTTCAGTAATTTTAGACAAACTATCTTATCCCTTGAGGGATTTCAAGGAACCTCATAGTATAAAAAGTAGAGTTTTGTACAAAAAGTTAAAAACCAAATAAGTTTTTCAGTTTTTCGTAGAAAAGGCAGAGCCCAAAAGCATGTCATGCCAGCATATGTGCTTTGATTTCTTGTCATTAAACAGCATACAAGATATCGTATACCTCAACACAATGAAATATTCATTATCTATACTATGACTCTGACCTCCTGTCCTTAGAGAACAATACTGACAGCAGTATCTGATGGGTAAAGGTTGAATGTCAGAAGCTGACGATAGATCAAGTAAACAGGAATATCTCCAGGTATTCCTACTTCAAGGTTGTTGGTGACATTTTTTGACAGTCAGGATGCTTCCAGCATTACAATTCCAAACACTTCCAGTTAGATTGAAGGCTTATCAAAATCAGATGCAGTATCTTTCTTTTAGTAATCAGCCATAGGTAGTCTCAGGCCTGGGTGGTTATGGATAATTAGCTACTTCTTTTAAGGGTGGAGGAAACATTTGTCTGTGTTAGGGAGGACTAGAGCAAGGGCAGAACTTTCTCACATTTTCAGTCACTGAATGGGATATGGTACTGAAGTTTAAACACCTTTTTAAATGTTTATATAATGGGTAGGTAGGAAGCAGTTTACCAGAGAGCAGAAATAAACCATTCTGGTGCAAAAATTGTTAGACCTCTTGCCCTAACCTTTTTTGTGTTTTGGTCCATGGAGCTTCACTGCTTAAATGCATATTGAGCCAAATAACTTGTCCAAGAAACACTTAAAAAAATCTACTTGATCATTACTAGCACACAGACTATTGGAGAAGCTATTACTTTCCTTGGTTCCAGGGGCTCAGTCGTTGCTAAGGGCTCTGCAGAAGAGCAGAAACCGAAGCAATAGTACAGTAATCACCAACTATTTGCTTTCCATGTCAACTTTCTTTGTTCTTTTCCATTAAGGCATCATTGTATCATGGTTACCCTAAAAACTGGATGGTAAATACCTCTGCTGTGCTTGTTTTGTCAGCCTGGTTTCTAGTCAGCAATTGCAGTGAGCATTTTCTCCTCAGCTTTGCATTTCTTTTGTTAGCACAAAGTCCTGTGAAGCGTGGAGTGCTGCCAGCTTATGTGCAAAAGAGAAAAGGAGCAGAGGCTGCTTGGCCTCCGATGGCATCAGGCCTTTACAGAAGAAGGGCTTAGTCCCGAGCTTGCATGTTGTCAGCTTGCCAGTTGTTTAACTGCATGTGTATGGTAGGACTAAGAATGGAGCTGTTAATGCTTCAGTGACAAAAGGCAGCCTTTGGAATCATGTGGTGCCCTACCAAGATGAAAAAGCAAATGCAGGCCAGTTTCTCAAAAGAAACTGCCGGCCGTCCTTCCAGAAGCAAGGCTTGTTTGCTAGGGCAGTCTCCAGTGGTTCAGGAGCTCTGTTTAAAAGTAGACTTTACTCAAGTGCTTTGATTTGAGAACTACATGCTACTTTCCCCCCCAAAACACTGACAACCATTCCAATTTTATTTCACATGTCAACACTCTAAAAAGTTTGGTGCAACTTCAAAGCAAAGGAAAGATCAATGGCTCTAACACAACCTGAATAAATTGAACTGGTGTGCTCTAACCACTGATAACTCTTCTTTTTTTAATTGCATTCACTGTGTGTAGTCTCTTGGTTTGTGAGCCAGATCTTGCAGTGCTGCTCAGTTCATGTTTTATTCTGTGTATTTATGCTGTTAAATAGACTTCACTTTTTTCTTTTTTTCACTGTCATATTTGTGTTGTTTGTTTCTTTTCCTGCTAGCTGTCAGGGCATGAAAAGGTACGGATCGTAGTGTGGAAAACTTCCTGTCAGTTCCAGCCTTTGTATTTATAATGAACTTAGGCAGTTTTATGTGGCTTTCCCTTTATTTGCTCTTTTTTTTTTTTGTACTTACTTTGTGCAATGATATTTTGTGCTTGTTCTGTCTCTTGAAGACAAACCAAGTACTGATATATTAACTGTTAGTAATCCCACTAGTATAATAATTGGATCTGTATGCAGTGACCTAGCTGTATGTAATCAAATACGCCCTTTCCTGTTGAAGAACGGTAGTTTAAGGTAGGTGCATTTAGCACCATGTGCTTTCACCCTTGCAAAGGCCTCCATTGAAGGGCAGCACTTTAAAAGGCTATGTTCAGCACGTTCGAGTTTTGTGCTATAGCAGTCGTATAGTCCAAAGTTCAGTTTATTGAAGTAGTTAGTGAAAATTACTGCATTACAACATCAGTTGCTCTGTGTGTTTTAGGAAGGGTAGTTAGTCAAGTTATTTTTAAGAGCACAGTTTAAGCGTTGCTGCTTAAAGTTTGCAATCATGTTTGTTTTTCTGCAGCTTCAAACAGCAGCTTCCAGAAGTTACGTGGGCTCAACTGCCCCAACTGGAATAAGCAAAGATGAAGACACGAGTCGTTTCCATACCACCAAGAGGGGGAATTTCCATGAAGTTTTTAACCTGTCGGAAAATGAGCGTCCTTTGGCAGGTATTACACAACAGGAAGGCTACGTTAGTAGAACATTTCCTAACAAGCCAAGTTGAATTCCCTTGCTGTGCGCTGTACAGTTATAAGCTTTTGATTAAAAAGACTTGCTCTAGATTAGGATGAATGAGATGGTTTCTTTAATTTCCACATCCCTGCAGTTCTGTGGAAGAATGCACAGCCTGGTGTGCCTTTTGTGGTAATGCAAATGGCATAGTCAAAGGGAGTAATTGTGTGGGTGGTTTTTGGTTTGTGTTTTTTAAAACCAGTGTTATGATGTCTAAAAACATCTTATTTAGGCATTTCTTTTATAAATGCTTCTAGTTTTAGGTATCTAATGTTTAATTGTCAGTGGCTTCTGATGTTTTATAAGGAAATTGTTGGGGATAATGCATGTCCTTTTTTTTACAGTAGTATTTCTTGTTATGAATTTTTCAGTGTGTGAAAATGGCTGGCGCTGTTGCTTGATTAACAGAGATAGGAAGATGCCTACAGATTACATCAGGAATGGAGTTCTTTATGTCACAGAAAAGTAAGTCATTGCACTTGACACATTTGTTAGGAGGGAAATGCATCAGAGATGAAAAAAACTTGAATCCAAAAGTAATCCTTTAACAGTGTTTTGAAACAAAAATGCCTTTCCATGGTGTTTCATGACCTCATGAAAGCACCATAGGAGAGGGAGAGCTGAATCTGGGGTGTTGTAATGCTTAACAAATGTGATTTTGCCTTGCAAAGGCTTGCATAGGAATGGAGAGTAGTTCTAAAATAGTCAGTTGTTAGTAGCTCGGTTCTTGATGTGGGTAATATGCTAGCTATATATATATATGCATATACATGCTAAGAAGGAACCCCAAAAGCTAAGTGTACTTTGATAAGTTGTGATCAACTTAATTTGGCAAATACTCTTAGTTTCTGTCTTTGAAGCAAATTCAGTGTCTAGCTTCCTTGAAACAATGTGCAGCAAAAAGCAAATGGAAATGTAATCCTTGGTTTTAAAACTAGTTCACTACTCTTTGGGTCTTGCACTGAAATTCCTCTGGAGTGTAATGAATGGAAGTAAGGCTCATCTGTATGCAGTGTCACCTAGTGATGGAGAGCACTCTCCAGCATTTAGAAATCTGAGCTTTTCTCTGCATCACAATAACATGAAAACACAGTGTTTTTCATTAATCTTCTTTTGGGATGGTAAAAGACTTATAAGCCTTTTGAGATTTGGTATTTCTATGGCTTAAGAATATATGCACTTCCTGTGTCTTTAGAACACTTATCAGGTTTAACCATTCAGGGCAGTAATATAAGTACAAGTTTTTTTTGTATTGTGTGCCTGCCATATGTTGTGGGCTTTCAGACACTTACAAGAATTTACAAATGTTTGCTCTAAATTAGAAGCCAGGACTGAATTGCATATTGTGTGCCTCTTTCTCTTTTTTGGAGCTGATTTTAACCTGTAATATTTCAAACTTCAGAAGTGATGGCAGGGATATTTGGAGCTTTGTTTTAGAACACTGTGTCAAAATTAAAACATTTTCTTTCCTTGTCTTCAGTTACTTGTGCTTTGAAAGCTCCAAATCTGGCTCATCTAAGAGAAATAAAGTTATAAAGCTAACGGATATAACAGATATTCAGAAGGTATGTCTGTTTTGTGTATGTCTGTTCCACTGGTAGCAGGAATTACGTAATGCTAACTTCAGTTTGGGTGTTGATATTGGTAGATGCACCATCTTAACAGTAGGTGCCTCAGAAGAAAGAGGGGTTATTTTCAGTGGGGAAAGTTAAATCATAGCCAGACTGGATTGGACTGTTGGGTTCCCAACACTAACAGAGGCAAGAAGTGAATAGTTGGAATTAGGGTAGGTACAGTATCATTCTTCATCTGGTTGAGTTTTGTCAGCCTGCAGTCACCAATGGCTTTATTGGTGCCTTGCATCAATCTGTATGGTGTTTAATGTCGCTTTTTGTTACCCTCTCTGAACCTAGCCTACTCTTAAATGCAGACACCCCTACTACTGCATCCTGTGGCCATGAGTGCCACAGATCAAGTCGTGCTGGGCAAACAAACACCTCAGCTCGGTGTCTACTGCTAAATTACCTCCAAATTTTCATAGAACTATAGAATGATTTGGGTTTGAGGAGACCTTAAAGATCATCTAGTCCAGCCCCCCTGCCATGGGCAGGGATGCCTTCCACTAAACCAGGATGCTCAAGGCTCCATCCAATCTGGTCTTCTCACCCCCTGTTTCTCACCCCCTGTTTCTCACCCCTAAACTGAAACCAGGCACAGTACATTTTTGTGCCTGGCTGCTTGCTCCCTATCTCATCTTCATTAAAAAACTCACACAGATGAAAAAGCACCTTCATGGCATAAAGAACTACTAAACAATGAGCCAGCATCACTTCAAGAATGATGCTTACAATCCACCAATATCAATTATTAATTCCATAGACAAGTGGTGCCTGGCATCGTGTCTGGCCTAGCTCCCAAGTGCAAGGGGTACCAGGGTGCTCGGTTTGGGGCCAGGACTGGTTCTGGCAGGCAGGCTGGGTGCTGCCACAGCACATGGGAGGAGGAAGAGGAGAGGCAGGTGCTCACTGTACCCAGTGACTCCGGGGTTGGAGAGCAGTGTATGTCCTCTTCTTGGTTTTAATAGAGGTCTGTTGGTTGTGGCTGGGAGGACATAGTGGTGATGAGTTGTGTAACCTCCTCAGCACCTAACACAGTTGTTCAGGATGTAAGATATCCTTCACCTATTTTGTTTTCATTTTTAGTATAAAGTGCTCTCTGTTCTCCCGGGATCAGGGATGGGTATTGCTGTATCAACACCGTCTACACAAAAAGTAAGTAGCTGGCTGTGCCTGTATTGCTGTGTTTGACTTCATGGTCCTTTGCTCATAAACTCTGTGCAGATGCATTTTATGCTATGGTTGGTTTAGGAAGAAGATGGACAAATGAAAAATATTAGAAACTCTGCCATATATCCCAGCTTCTAGTAGAGAAAAAGATTCTTGTGTCCTTATTAATGTACTTCGAGTACAGTTCATCTCCTGTTCCTGTACCTAAAGGAAGAGTTTTGTTTTCTGCACTGATAAAATCTTTTCTTTGTTCTGTCATTTAGCCTTTGGTCTTTGGTGCCATGGTACACAGAGATGAAGCATTTGAGACAATTTTCAACCAATATGTGAAAATAACCTCTGCATCATCAAGCAGCGAAAGCTAGTATCTTATCTTAGAAGACCTAAAGGAAACTTTCTTATTTTACAACTTGGTAGTGAAAAAAATGAACATCCTCATCTATTTTGCAATAATTTTTCTTGTCTGGTCGTTTATATTCTCTGTTACATAAATCAAGTGTATTTTATATATGCCTTCGTGTTTGTTTTTAAGGTTTTTGTAAAAAAAAAAGAACAAAAAACAAAATGAAACAAAACAGTGGAAGTGCTATCATCACTATTAGCCTTGCACATTAAGCACTTTTAATGTTTATTTACTGGCATTAAAAGCTGGGAAGATGCATGGAGAAGTGACTAGATAACAAAATGAAGCAGATTGATCCCTTTAACTCCACTCATATCCCTAGGGATATATTTGTCCCATTATCCTAAGTATTTTTAACCTGAGATGTGAGAATGATGACTGCAGCAGCCTGAAGTCTGTTTCTTCAAATCAAAAGTTTTCAGTTGAGTATATACTAAAACTGAGAGAATACTAAGGAAGTATTAGCTTCTTACTATTTCTATATTTATAACTGTATTTAAAATAACCCCTTCTTGCTAATTCTCACATCACAGATATTTTGCTTATTTGGTTATGTTCGGTTTTTGCTACGCACAGAAGTTTGAATTGCGTGTAAAGTGAATTGGAGGAGAAAGTTTGTAACTATTATCTTCCTTACCAAAGTAAGGGAAAGGAAGGCAGGCAGATACTTTTTATAAAAGAGGGCACCAAAATGTTGTTCCTAAAATGTTAGGCATCGTATATTTGTATTTCTGTAGATACTTGTCATAGAAGGGCTCAACTATTGTACATGTTGTATGTACAAGGTGTTTGTATGTTAATGCATTGAAGACTTGCAGGCTTTTTGTGGTGGGGGAGGTGGGAATAATTAAGAGACATGACTTGAGTCAGCTGATTGGAGCTAGCCCAGCTAGAGCCGCAGCCGGCATGCTACAGCGACCGCGAGCTTCTACCGAGATCAGGAAAATCAGAGGGGATAGCACGGAGCCATCGCAATTCCCGACATTTCCCAACACTTCCAGATTCCCGAAGTTCCAGCAGCCCTTGCGAGAGAGCGGCTGACGTGGCGGGGGGCGTTTCCATGGTGAACGGCAACCACTCCCCTGCCCCTTGGCTTGAAAAAGCCTTTGAGAGGGCAGCGACGGGTCGCTGCCCAGTAGGTGCAGGGAAGAACAGGTAGGTCGTTGTGCTGACCAATATGGTCGTCTCCAGAAAGAGAGCTAGCAGTAAGAGGGCTGTAGCAACACAGACAGAGACCCCGGCCCTAACCGTGGCTGTTCAGGTCTCTGGATGCAGGGAGTGCCAGAGCCTGCTGCTGCTGGGGGAGGGAGGACAGCATTCCACCTGTGTGAGGTGTGAGCAGGTGGAAGATCTGCTTAGCTTGGTGGCTGAACTTAAGGAGTGGGTTGAGACGCTGAGGAGCATCAGGGAGTGTGAAAGGGAGATCAACTGCTGGAGTAACTCCCTGGCTGGCCAGTTGGAACGGCTCCAGGGAGATACCCCCCAAAAGAGGATGGACCCCCTGCCCTCTCAGACAGAGGGGGATGGCCTGAGACAGCCCCTGTCATGTAGCTGTCACCCGGAGGTAGGGGACCAAAAAGATGAGGAGGGTTGGAAGCGAGTTCTGGTTTGGCGTCGTGGGCAGCCCTCCTCCCTTCCTGCCCCGCTTCCCCAGGTGTCCCTCTGTAATAGGTTTGAGGCCCTGGATCTGGAAGGAGAGGTAGGTGAGGATGTGGTGCAAGGCCCGCCTACAGGGCCACATAGGAAAAGGAGGTCGACTTCGCACTTCAAGACTGCCTCTGGTAAGAAAGAAAGAGGTCATTGTAGTGGGTGATTCCATTCTGAAAGGAACAGAGGGCCCGATATGCAGAGTTGACCCTCATCATAGGGAAGTGTGTAGTCTGCCTGGAGCCCGGATCAGGGATATCACCAGGGTGCTCCCCAACCTGGTGCGCCCGACAGACTACTACCCACTGCTTGTCATCCAGACGGGTGAGGGGGAAGCTGCTTCCCGCAGTCTGAGGGAGATGAAGAAAGACTACAGGGCCTTGGGGCGGATGGTGAAAGACTCTGGGGCTCAGGTGATCTTCTCTTCACTCCTTCCATCTTCTATTGATGATGTGGGACTGAATGGGAAAATTCAGTCCATAAACGATTGGCTTCGAGGCTGGTGCTGCAGGCAGGGCTTTGGTTTCTTTGATAACGACTGGTTTTATAGGGCACCGGTCTGGACAGTGGCATGTGGGAAAGGTTTATCGCACAGAGGTAAAAGGATGCTGGGGCACGAATTAGCGGGGCTCATTTGGAGAGCTTTAAACCAGATTCGAAGGGGGATGGGGTTGTAGCTGGGCTTGACCCAGTGGGGCAGCGCTCCAGAATTGGTGAAGACTGGGAGGCCTCCTGTAATCCTAGGGTGAAATCGGTGTGCTCGGCTCGCTCCCTGAAATGTCTGTACGCCAATGCGCGCAGCATGGGAAATAAGCAGGAGGAGCTGGAAACCTGTGTTAAGTCAGGAGATTATGATCTGGTGGCAATTACAGAGACGTGGTGGGACAGCTCACATGACTGGAGGGCTATGTCCTTTTCAGGAAAGACAGGCCAGCCAGGCGGGGTGGTGGGGTTGCTCTTTACGTGCGAGAGCAGCTACAATGCGTTGAGTTCTGTCCGGGGACAGATGATGAGCGAGTTGAGAGTCTGTGGGTGAGAATTAAGGGGCAGGCTGGCAGGGGCAATACTGTTGTGGGGGTCTGTTACAGGCCACCGGATCAGGGTGAGGAAGTTGACGAGGCCTTCTACAGGCAGCTGAGAGCGGCCTCACAGTCACAGGCTGTGGTTGTCGTGGGGGATTTTAACTTCCCTGATGTTTGCTGGAAGGACTACTCGGCAACCCAGCAGCAGTCCAGGAGGTTCCTCCAGTGTATAGATGATAACTTCCTCATGCAAATGGTGGATGAGCCAACCAGGAGAGGTGCACTGCTGGATCTCATCCTCACTAACAAGGAGGGTCTGGTTGAAGGAGTGAAGGTTGAGGGCTGCCTTGGTTGCAGCGACCACGAGATGGTGGAATTCAGGATCTTGTGTGGTAGGACCAGTAGAATAGCAAGTAGAATTGCAACCCTGGACTTTAGCAGGGCAAACTTTGGCCTTTTCAAGCGATTGCTAGGGGAAATCCCATGGGCTAGGCTGCTTGAAGGTAAAGGGGCCCAAGATAGTTGGTTGACGTTCAAGGACTGCTTTTTCCGAGCTCAAGATCGGAGCATCCCGACACGTAGGAAGTCAAGGAAGAGGGTCAGGAGACCTGCGTGGCTAAATAGGGAATTGCTGGGTATGCTCAAGTGGAAGAGGAGAGTTTACAGGTCATGGAAAGAAGGGCTGGCCACTTGGGAAGAATATAAGGCTGCTGCTAGAGGATGTAGGAAAGCTGCTAGGATGACTAAGGCCTCCTTGGAATTAAAGCTGGCGAGAGGGGTCAAGGACAGCAGAAAGAGCTTTTTCAAATACATGGCAGGTAAAACTAACACCAGAGGCAATGTAGGCCCGCTGATGAACGGGACGGGTGCAGAGATGGCAGAGTTACTGATTGCCTTCTTTGTCTCTGTCTACTCTGCGGGAGGCAGTCCTGAAGAGCCCTGTTCCCCTGAGACCTCAGATGAAGACAGGTCAACAGAGCGGTTTGCCTTAGTCGATGAGGAATGGGTTAGAGACCAGTTGAGCAATCTGGACATCCATAAATCCATGGGTCCATATGGGATGCACCCGCGGGTGCTGAGGGAACTGGCAGAGGTCATTGCTAGACCGCTCTCCATCATCTTTACCAAGTCTTGGGAAACGGGAGAGGTGCCTGAGGACTGGAGGAAAGCAAATGTCACTCCAGTCTTCAAAAAGGGCAAGAAGGAGGACCCGGGTAACTATAGACTGGTCAGCCTCACCTCCATTCCTGGGAAAGTGATGGAACACCTTATCCTTGGTGCCATCTTAAGGCATATCAAGGATAAGAGGGTTATGAGGGGCAGTCAACATGGCTTCACCAAGGGGAAGTCATGCTTGACCAATCTCATAGCCTTTTATGAGGAAATAACACGGTGGATGGATGATGGCAGAGCGGTGGATGTGGTCTACCTTGACTTCAGCAAAGCGTTTGACACGGTCTCCCACAGCATCCTTGCAGCTAAATTGAGGAAGTGTGGTCTGGATGATTGGGTAGTGAGGTGGACTGTGAACTGGCTGAAGGAGAGAAGCCAGAGAGTTGTAGTCTATGGGGCGGAGTCTAGTTGGAGGCCTGTATCTAGTGGAGTGCCTCAAGGGTCGGTACTGGGACCAGTATTATTTAATATATTCATCAATGATTTAGATGAGGGAATTGAGTGTACTATCAGCAAGTTTGCTGATGACACTAAGCTGGGAGGAGTGGCCGACACGCCAGAAGGCTGTGCTGCCATCCAGAGGGACCTGGACAGGCTGGAGAGCTGGGCGGGGAATAACTTGATGAAATATAACAAGGGAAAGTGTAGAGTCCTGCATCTGGGCAGGAACAACCCCAGGTTCCAGTATAGATTGGGGAACGACCTGTTAGAGAGCAGTGTAGGGGAGAGGGACCTGGGGGTCCTGGTGGACGACAGGGTGACCATGAGCCAACACTGTGCCCTTGTGGCCAAGAAGGCCAATGGCATCCTGGGGTGTATTAGAAGGGGGGTGGTTAGTAGGTCAAGAGAGGTCCTCCTTCCCCTCTACTCTGCCCTGGTGAGACCTCATCTGGAATATTGTGTCCAGTTCTGGGCCCCTCAGTTTAAGAAGGACAGGGACCTGCTGGAGAGAGTCCAGCGCAGGGCAACTAAGATGATTAAGGGAGTGGAGCATCTCCCTTATGAGGAAAGACTGAGGGAGCTGGGTCTCTATAGTTTGGAGGAGATTGAGGGGTGACCTTATTAGTGTATATAAATATATAAACGGGGAGTGTCACGAGGATGGAGCCAGGCTCTTCTCAGTGGCAAACAATGATAGGACAAGGGGCAATGGGTACAAACTGGAACACAAGAGGTTCCACTTAAACTTGAGAAGAAACTTCTTCTCAGTGAGGGTGACAGAACACTGGAACAGGCTGCCCAGGGAGGTTGTGGAGTCTCCTTCTTTGGAGACATTCAAAACCCGCCTGGACACGTTCCTGTGTAACCTTATCTAGGTGT